CCAGCAACTACTATGAGTGGAGCGCTAACGGAGCTTGGGTAGTTTTTGTTATTGTTCTTGCTGCTTCTGCTACTGTTGCTGTTGTTGCTGTTGTTGCTTTTGCCCGTGGTCCTCTCTGTGCGTATTCGTAGTTGTAAAAAGTGGTCGACTAGTAGGAGAGTCGTATTTGTTGTTGGCGCTGTTGGAGCTGCTAGGAAATGACGTGAGTATGGCAAGGCGTGCGCGACGTAAAATACTCATGAACAACGGAAAGTTGTAAAAAGACAGTGACGAGGGCCAACGATACCGACGCCACAACAACAACAACAACAGCAACAACAATGGCAGCGGCAGCGGCAGCAACAACACCAAATAAACACGCACTATAAAAAGTATATTGAAGTTGCCCTCGATGAGAGCATAACTGCATCCGAGATACTGGAAAATCCTGAGACTTCAATTCGCCCTCGCAGCACTCCTCCAGGTACACTTTCAGCATGAAACATGCATTCAAATTTGCCAACGATTTGCTATGCCGGTCCCATTTACCTATTAAACTCTACGTAAGTATGTACAACATACACACGCACACACACACACACACACACACGTAGAACGTACCAATTTCACAAGTATGCATATGTATGTGAATGAATATACATACATATGTATTTATTTACATACCCGAAATTATAGTAGTTGCAGCCTATGTACGTTTAGTTTGTTGCACGCGTCACTCACATAAATTTGTTGAATTTCATTTTAATTTTGCACTTGCATTCAGTTTTTGTCGTCCTACTGCATGCATGCAAAGCACATTTTTTTCTCACACTCTGTTATCCGGCTTGGAACCGTTACTTCGAGTTGTGTAGTGTGCTTTGCACGCGTTTCGTTAATTTTACTATGCACTGTTGTTGCTCTGGTGTAGTTTGCAGTCTTTTGCATTACACTTGTAAAAATATGCTACAAGATAAAGGCGTTGTATATATTCTGTATTTTATTTAAAATATCAACAAAAATGAAGTGTTTTCATGTGCACTGCCGATGGATCCAACTTTATCTTGTTGCCGTTCAAGGCAGAAATGCAATAACCTCACCTAACGAGCAATTGAAATACACTGATGTCGCCTGGCGACGACTGATGCTGAGAGAGCGCAAATAAAATCTCTATGGATGTTGGCTGCTGCCCCAATCCTCAACCCCAACACCCAAATCAGGCGCAGGACAACATACAAGTTGCAAGGAAGTTGGCTAGAAGCAGGAAATGTATACAATTATGGGACAGCTAAATTAAAAATAGAAACATTTATATCAAAATATAAAAATCACTTTAAATAAATAATAAAATAGTGACTGCAATACTCTAAAAAAATATTTCATTTTCGTTTCATATTTTCAAAAGCCGAGCCAATAATTTCTTACAGTGCGACTGCAGTTTTTGTGTGAATGGCAAAAACAGCTGTTCACAATAGCGTTGCCAGACTACTCGTTTCATACCAGCGCTTGCCGGCACAGCTAAACTAACAAATTGTGTTAACATTTAATTATTAATTTTAGAAGAATGGCAGGTAATAACGAAAGCAGCAATGCCGAGGCCACAAATGATCACATCGATCTTGCGCTATATCGCAAACTGGTTAAGCAGTTTATAGACATGGTAAGTAGTTTCAGCATGTAAATTATATGTGTATGTAACTATGTAGGAATGTGAATCCATTATTTATGTATGTATTTTGCAGCGCCGCTATTCAACCGCTTTGTTTTGGGCCGAAAAGGTAGCCGTTCTAAGCGGTCAGGAGCCGCGCGATATCTACTACCAGGCACAGTGTATGTTTCTATTAGGCGAGTACCATCGCGCAGCTCATACAATTCAGCACTATAAGCTGGAGAAGACCTCTCTGCCTTGCTTTAATCTGTTGCTGGAGAGCCTCTATGCGGCCAAAGAGTACAACGAAGCGGCAAACATAATACAAATCGTGGAGGTAGAGACAATGACCACTTCCTTGATTAATCAGCCGGTAGATCCGGGCAGCGGCTACTGTTTGGAGAGCAACAGCGTCTTTGGTGGCGAAGAGAATAATCGGAATGAGCTGCTGGCTTCTATCTTCTTGATGAAGGGCAAGGTATATGAAGCATTGGATAATCGTGGCATGGCCATGGATTTCTTTGTGCAGGCTCTACACAAATCTATATATTGCTTTGAGGCACTGGAAGCGTTGGTGCAGCATGAAATGCTCATGGCTTGGGAGGGTAAATGCTCAAGGCAACAACAGTCTTCCTTTCTAAATATTATTTTACCTTACTGCAGAGTTTGAGCTGATGCACCATTTGCCGCTGGCCCAACAATCTAGCGAGGCCGACGCCAAGCTCATTCTAAAGCTATACGAGTCTAGACTGAAAAAGTACTATGAGCTTATTTCAGCGCGGAACGCTGAGGAAATTTCACCTATTGTCAATCCGGATGTGCTCAAGTATATTAAAGAGTTCACCGTACGCGTGCAGCAAACTTGCACAGCGGATACTCAATTGCCCAAGCCATCTGTGCCGAAAACAACAGTGACTCCAAGTCAGTTTATGTCGCCCGCACAAAAGTAAGTATTAAATAAGTATTGTTTTTGGCGTGTTTGTGTTAATTTTAGCAATATTTGTAGAGTGCTGGAGGATCTGAAGGCGCCGACATTTTCTTTACAGACGAGCCTGTCTCGCGCTTCATCCATGATTGACGCTACACAGCGTTCGCTTTTTGATGCATCCAATCGTCGTATTTCGCGCGAGCATGAAGTAGACACTTTAATATCGCTTAACGACTGCCTGTCTCGAGTGCAGCGCAGCACAGATCTCCTAGCTTCAGAGGCTGAGAAATGTTTTTATGACTGCGATTACAAGCAGAGCCTTAAAATCCTAAATAAGTAAATATGCCTTGTATTGATCCTATATTTATAATTGTTGCTAATGTGATTTGCTTTCAGCTTGCTAAAGGTAGATCCTTTTCACAATAGCGCCCTAACTATACAAATTGCCTGCCTTGTGGAGAATGGTGATTTCAATAGGTTGTTCTATGTGGCCCACAAATTGGTCGATCGGTATCCGGACAAGGCCATTTCTTGGTATGCCGTTGGCTGCTACTACGACATGATAGGCAAAAGTGATCCAGCTCGTCGTTACTTGTCAAAAGCCACATCGCTGGATCGCTTCTATGGTCCCGCCTGGCTGGCCTATGGACATTCTTTTGCCAATGAGAACGAGCACGAACAGGCTATGGCTGCCTACTTCAAGGCCACCCAGCTTATGCGTGGCTGCCATTTGCCATTACTCTATATTGGCGTGGAGTGTGGATTAACCAAGAATCTCGAATTGGCGGAGAAATTTTTTTTGCAAGCCATGACCATAGCTCCGATGGATGTATATGTACTGCATGAGCTGGGCGTCATTAAATACGAATATGAGTATTTCGATGGGGCTGCCACAATCTTCCAATCTACCGTCAACATTGTTAAGCAGCGCGCCAAGACCAATAATGAAGAGGTTTCGGCGCGGTGGGAGCCGCTTTTTGTAAATCTAGGTCATGCCTGTCGCAAAATACAAAAATTCGAGGAGGCGCTGTACAATTTTCAATTTGTAAGCGCAGTGTTGTGTGTTTCTTCTTCTTTTTCCTAATGAGTTGTTTATTTTGTAGGCGCTTCTGCTGAAACCCCAAAGCGGCACTACATACACATCCATTGGCTTTATACATGCTCTACTTGGCAACTTGGACGAGGCAATTGAGTATTTCCACAAGAGTTTAGCACTAAATCGTGACTGCATTGTCACCTCCACAATATTAAAGGAGTGTATTGAGGATTTAATGGATGATACCGCCACCATTGATGAGATTTGCAGCAAGGCACTGAGAGATGTTACTGAATCCATAACGGCCAGCAGTCGGCGCGTGCTCAACGCAGATAAGTTAAGTGGCATCAAAATGAACTTGAAATTCGATGAGGAGGAAGAGCTCTCAAATTCAGACTCAAATATGGTTGTAGAAATGAGCTTCGATAACTAGAGGATCAACGAACTAATTAAGTTCCACCAAAATGTTTTTTGTTAATGACTCATTAAATAGTCCCAATTACAATAATTTGATAGGTGCTGCAAACAGCGGCTGCCACCTGCACTTGAACCCAATTCATGCACACGGCGTACACAGCTGTTTTGGCTAATGATCCAAAAAGAGCATGGGATTTTTTAAAATGTTTTTCCCATAACTTTTTGAAGCTGCCGCCGTGCTGTGTTTTATTTGCATGGTACTAAGTATTTAAGTATGCGAATTGCTTTTCCCAAAATCATTGTATTCTCGGCTATCCGCTAGAAAATGGTTTTCGAATTACAAGAATTATTATGTTTTAGATTCTGTGAATTGTAAACACATATTTTTGAGTTCGCTTAGTTTCAAACTGTTCCTAAGTTCAGAGTCACCTCATTAAATCTAGGATATGTTTAGAATTACATTTACTTATGCTTAAGAAATAAAATGTTTTTTATAGCTGCCTGCTGATATTTCCACTCTAAATCACAGCGGCATTATAAACGAATTGTGGCATATAAATATATCTTGCGAAAAAGGTCAACTCGATAATGCATATCGGTTATTGTTATGTGCGAAAAACTGAAAACTACATTAAGATAATGTCATTAAACTTTGCGTATGCAAACAAACTACTGATACAGTTTATGAAAGCAATTTCACCGTAAAAAACAAAAACAATAATGTAGCACTTGTTCTGTGAGCGTTACCCAAATATTTATCCACCAATAAACGCGTGTGACGAGTCAAGACGATGACGACAAAAACAATGTCGACCGCCCGTCTGAAGGTCTGCCGGTAAAAAAGTATGTATATAAAAGCCCGTTGCCGCCTGATAAAAGCAGGCACGTCTGATTATACTCTGCAGAGCTGAGTATATATATCCAGTCCATTCCACAACGAAGCACAGTCAAGCTACAGCTAGCAACCAAACAATTAGCCAATCAATCTATCCAATATGTGCAGACTTCCTTTGCTATTAATTTTGGGTCTAGCCTGCGCACAGGCAGTGCCGCTGGTATCCTACGACGACATTGACGACACGGAGGCCATTGAGCTGCCAGGCATTGAAGAGCCATCGGCGTCTAGTAAGGACATCATTGACTTGAGCTCCTATGGCAGTGCCATGTATGGCACTCCCGATCAAGAGCTAACAGCTGCCCTTGTGGGCAATTTCAGCGCCGACACTGACAAGGTTAATCCCGAGGAGTTGGGCAGCTATCTTGAGGGAGATATACTCGTGCCACAGTCACCGATTACCATGAAAAATGGCCTGACCACACAGAGTTCGCGCTGGCCCAACGGGGTGGTGCCATACGAAATCCGCGGCAGCTTCAATGCCCGCGACATGGCTACCATACAGGGCGCCATAGAGCAGTATCACAAGCGCACTTGCATCCGATTTGTGCCGCGCAGCAGTGAACGGGATTACATTTCAATTGTGAGCGGTAACTCGGGCTGTTGGTCATCAGTGGGTCGTGTGGGTGGCAAGCAGGAGGTGAATCTGCAGTCGCCTGGCTGCTTAAGTCGACCCGGCACAGCCATACACGAGCTGATGCACGCCCTTGGCTTTTTACACGAACAGAATCGCATGGAGCGTGATGGCTTTGTGGCTATCCAATATAGGAATATTCAATCCGCAGCCGTGAGCAATTTCGAGAAGGCCGCCAAGACGGAAGCATTTGGAATCCCCTACGATTACGGCAGCGTAATGCACTATTCAGCGAATGCTTTCTCCACCAACGGGCAACCAACTATTGTGGCGATGGTGAGTTGAATGTTTAGCATATGTTTGGCATATTGTAAGCAATCCTTTTTTATAATACACAGCAATCGAATGGTGCTTCTAAAATGGGTCAGCGCAACGGATTCTCTGACTTCGATGTGGATAAGCTAAATCGCATGTACGACTGCGGCTATGTGGGTGGATCTGCGCCCGCGGTTGGAGCTGGCGCAGCAGCGCCTGCCCCTGCACCAGGTGTTCCGGCGCCAGCTCCTGTTGTTCCCGGTGGCAATCCCATCGTCGATAGTTTTCTCAGCGGCCTCATCAGTGGACTGGGTCTTGGAGACGGCGAGGACGAAAAGGCCACTGAAGCTAGCAACTAGACCAAAGAACCTGCAAAATTCATATGTTCACAAACGCGACCAACTATTTAATGCATAACCCATACAAACTTAGTCTAGTATTAATTATCATGAATCTCTACCTGATCAAAGTATATAAGAATAAAAACAAGCATCAATTGCATAAACAATAACTTTCAAGTTTCTCTTTCATTATTTGGTTGGCTCAAGGCTTCTTTAAACAAAAATTTGAAATAACCTAGTTTAGTATTTCTACAATATATTTCAGTTGCACATCGCAAACCAGGGCAATTAATTCGGCGAGAGATCGCTTCTACAAAAATATACAAGAGGTTCTAGACGGAAGCTCCCGACTAAGGGATACCCTCAACCCTCTTCTTCCAACATCAAATGCATATATATATTCTATTTTAGAAGCTATATGTCAAGTTTAATGACTCTAGCTCTTATTATTTACCAAAATTGCCCAAAAAACAGGATTTCGATATAGATTTTTATCGATTACTTGGAAACGGGGCAAGTAAACTCTATCTGCGCAGGCACTAGAAGGACCTACATCTAAAATTTCAAGTCACTAGCTCTTATAGGTTCTGAGATCCTTGCGTTCATACATACGGACGGACGGACGGACAGACAGACAGACGGACATGGCTAGATCGACTCGGCTATTGGTGCTGATCAAGAATATATGTACTTTATGGGGTCGGAGATGCTTTCTTCTGCCTGTTACATACATTTACATTTTGCACAAATACAATATACCCTATTTCCCCATTTTCAATGGGTTCAGGGTATAATGATTTGCATATGGCTCGACTGGTATCAGCAAAGGGTCCTACTGAGAAGGCCATATGAATATTAGGTGCGTTGACCCTCTTTAAAAGCATCCATTGTTATAAGAATAGATTTTTATGTCTAATATTAACTAGCATTATATCATTATAAATCATAGGCAAAAGAGCTCTCCTCTAGTTCCTTATGCCTATAAACGCATAAAGCAGAAGGTCAGAATGATAATGCTTATCGGTTAAAGCCCCTCAGGTACGCAAAACTTAAATCTTGGAGATAAAATGCGGAAATAATTGCTAAGAGGGCGAGACATGTATGACTAGAAAGAGAGAGAGAGAGAGAGAGAGAGAGAGAAATAGAGAGTGGGGGGAACATATGAGTATCTAAAAACATATACGTTTATTCAAAATAAAAGTTGGTTTATTGAGACGAGATGAAGACAATTCGACTTGCGGAATCACTTGACGGTTGAATGTCAACCGGTAAAATATGTTCGTGCAATAAAAGCTGATAACATCTACGGCACCAAAGAACGTAACATGAATTTAGATATAAAAGCCCGCTTTCCGCTAGAACTCAACATAGTTTAGCTAAAGTTGGCAATCAAGTGTCTAAAAGATGCACAGATTTATTTTGTTCTCAGTCCTGGTTCAAGCACTCGTTCAGGCGGTGCCGTTGATATTCCACGAGGAAACGACCGAGTACGGCATTGACGACCCAGACCCGCGGAGCAAGGACATCATAGACTTGAGCTTCTATGGCAGCAGCTTGCTTGGCAAGCCGGATGAGGAGCAAACAGGCGCTCTGGTCGGCAATTTCAGTGCCGACACTGATGAGGTGAATCCCGAGGAGCTGGGCAGCTATCTTGAGGGAGATATGCTCGTGCCAGAGACAGCGATTACTATGAAAAATGGACTCATCACACAAACTTCACGCTGGCCCGGCGGTGTGGTGCCGTACAAGATACGAGGCACCTTTAATGCATTGGAATTGGCTGTCATTCAAGGCGCCATCGAGGAGTACCACAGGCGCACGTGCATCAGATTTGTGCCGCACAAGGGCGAGAGGGACTACATTTCTATTATAAACGATTTCTCGGGCTGTTGGTCAGCAGTTGGTCGCGTAGGTGGGCAGCAGAAAATTAATTTGCAAACACCTGGATGTCTGGGACGACCCGGCACAGTGCTCCACGAGCTGATGCATGCATTGGGCTTCCTGCACGAGCAGAGCCGCAAGGAGCGTGACGACTACGTGGCTATCCAGTACATGAATGTACGCTGGAGAGCTCTGAGAAACTTCAGGAAAGTGGACAATACCGAAGCATTCGGAGTACCCTACGATTATGGTAGCGTAATGCACTATTCAAAAAGAGCCTTCTCCTTCAATGGCCAACCGACTATTGTGGCCAAGGTGAGTTGGGCTTAAATGCATATGTATGTAGACGCTAACTAGTATACTAACTTGCAGCAAGCGGATGGCGCTAACCGAATGGGTCAGCGTTTAGGATTTTCCGACTTGGATATAGAAAAATTGCATCGGATGTACGATTGCGGTGCTCAGGAAACAACAGTGCCTGCAACAGAGGCTGAGGCCTCCACCACAGTCTCTGTGAATTCAACAGCAACTACGACAGCTACTAGTCCTAATCCTGAAGTTGAGGGTTTCAACAGCACTCTGTCGGGTCTTGTAGATGGCCAAAAGGAGTTGGGTAGAGCAACGGATCAGAGATTATAAGCTTTGTGCACATAATTAATTTTAAGCTATAACCAAATAAGAGGGAGACTACAGATCTGTGGGATACTTCGAGCCGTAGCAGTGTAAGCTATAGGTAATTTTTTAAACTAGAAAATAAAGTGTGGTTAAGTTAATTTCATTGAATTTAATTGGCCATGACATAGTATTATTTAAAGTAAGCAACGCCTACCACTGAGTGATTCTTCAACCTAGACATTTCGCTTGGCGGCCAGCATCCTGGAGCGGGGCAAGCGGCACTGGCTAATGCTATGTAGGCGATATTGCATTTCCGGTTGCGTAATCTTCTCGTAGAGCTTCTGTTTGGCCTCCTTGATAGTGTGAATGGCAACACCATCACCGCCATCATCCATATTGAAGGCTTCGCCCTCGGCGCACTCGGGACATTGTTGGGTGAGCACAATGTCATTGAGATCGGTGGGCAGTTCACAGATCTTCTCGATCTGCTTGACCACATAGTCGATGTTGCCCTCGTCCTGGCGCTCAAACACATATACACTGGCCACAATGTCCTGGATGCGTGTCTCTAGCAGCCTGAGAAAGCGTTCCACATTCACTAGATTTACGTGCGAGTGATCGCCCAGGAGCTCATTCAAAGGCGTCGTATCCACCGAGCACATGTCGCAGAGCATTTCAACGCCCTGCAACAGATTTTCGAGACGTGTGTCATTGCTTTCGCGCGTCTTGTGGAGCTCCACGTTCGATGCCTGCTTCTTGCGCACCTGCTGCTCGAGGGAGTTAATCATATCGATCTGATCTTGCAGCGTGTTGGTGTTTTCGCGTTTCAGATCGATAATATCCTCGAACAGGCGATTCACCGAGTTGTTAAGCAGCGTAATATGATAGCTCATCTCGTTGGCATAGTTGAAGAACGAGTAATAGAGACTCTCCTGCTGCTGGAACTTCTCGATTACCTCCTCCACATTGCTGGAGTTAGTGTAATCGAGTATCTTCTTGAGCACCGAGTTATACAGATTGATCTTCTTGTTATGTTTGCGACGGAATTCATCGCGACGCCTATACTCCTTGGCTGGCAGATCGGCTAGCACCCTCTCCCTGCCCTTGCACTCCACGAAGGCCGTGTTGTCCGCATCGGCAGCCACTTTGCGCATAATGCTTTGCAGCTCAATGCGACGCAGCTCACGCTCCTTGGACTCGCGCTTGGTAATCTTATCGATTTTCTCGTACACATCAATGCAGCCATCAAAGGTGTTCAGTGCATACTCGATGAGATCTATCAGATACTTCTTGTCGCTGTTAAGTTTCTGAACCATCTTCGTGTACGAATCGTTGAAGAACGTGCGATGATTGAGTATGCGTATGAGTTGCTCACGCAGCTCGGCATTGGCCGCCGTAAAGCCGCACTCCTGGCGAACGCCCACCTCCAGCGAGTTCTCCAAAATGACCATCTTCTTGCGCACTTTGGCCACATGTGCCTGGTGCTGCTGTTCCGGGACCGTCAATCGATTGAGATTGTAGATCTGTTTGCTCACACGACTGATTTCGCGCTCCATATTGCATATAGATGTCTTTAGCTTGGTTATATCCTCTGCCAGATTCTCCTGGCATTCCACATGGCAACGTATCTGGCCCAAATAGCGTTTGTCCTTTTTGATGTGCGTTGTGCCGGCGGCCACCCAAATTTGAGCGCGCAGATCATTCTTCTCCTCCTCGAGACGATCGATGGTATTCTCATAGCTGGCATCGATGATCGTTTCATTGCGCGATTTCAGCTTGCTGGACAGCAGCTTCTTGTACTCCCGTTGTCGCTTGCCAAGCTCACGGTGCTTCAGCAGATAACCCTCAAGGAATGCCGTTTTATTGAAGGGCTCGGTATCCATTTTATGTTCAAATAGCGTAACTTTTCTTAATTTGCAAAATAACCAAAATCGTAACTATGTTTCTCCCGTATGTTGTAAAAAATATATTAATTTGAATGTATATATCAATGCTCTAGTAGCTCTGACGCCCTTGAATTAATTCGCACGACTAACTTCAAAATTCTACAAGCTCTGTCTTTCAAAACAAAACCTACTTGCTACAAACAAAATTTGAGATTGCCAGCAGTCAATCAAGGGGTTTTAAAAACACAGGTGTCATGTATGATAAATAATAACAATGACTATTTAGCTGGCGTTAGACAAACTCATTTATAAGCCCTTCAATGAAATAAAAGATAAGCAGAGATCATTTTTATTAGATTTAAAACTTAGCTTGCTAAACCTTATTTGATTTAGTGAGAATCGCGTAGTAGAGCAATATTTATAAATACGTTTCTGGTTCATTTTCAGCTCATAAATTCATACATGCATGCATTAGCATGTACTCAAATACATACAAACACACATATATATATATACTATTGTAAAATTTGTAGTATATAATAAGACCTGGTTATGTTAATAATACGTACCAGTTTTTTCTATGGCAGCCATCTCCTTCATAGATAGTAAATACATACACATACATACATACATTTAGCCTTACGTAAATAAAAACCAAACGTATAATATATGTATACATAAGGCGGCTATTCCTCCGCCTTGCCCGTGGCAAGTTTTGTGCCCAACATTTTAAATATACATCGAGTTGCTGCCAATACTATTGACCATGAATTTATTACTATACTTTGTGGTATTAGGAATATAGTAATAAACGGTCAAATTGTGCTTAAAATGCACTGGCTACCATGACCCTTGACTTAGACAACCGTATAACCTTTATCTTTATTTTACTGGGCCTAAAAAGAAAACAGACTTCTCTTATCAATAATTTAATGATGCGTTAATAGCTGCACAGATATATGCATACGTCCATACAACTATAAAATTCTTATTTAATAAATTTGGAAGATTTTCCTGTCGGCAGAGAATATTAGAGATAAATTATTGCTGCGATATACCGGAGCTCTCCAAAGCACGAAATATTTTAAATATAGACCAGATATAGGCGGCAGTTCGCAAATCATTGCACAGCTCAAACTTATTTGCTGTGGCCTTAATTCCAGCGCCAGATGATTCCATAACAGTTTGTAGAGCCGCATCCACAATGTCAGACTCCTTGGTGCAGTCGCGTATCTCCCGAAGGCGTTTATTTGGCACGATTTCCGGCTGTGTTAAGGATGGGTAAAAATACGAGTTAACAATCCAAATCGAGAGCTGATTATACGACTTACGAATTCGCCCTCGTTACAACGGTTAAACGATTCATTGATCGAATTTACGACCCCGTGAATAAGCTGCGAAGTTATTTTTGAGTTCATTTTGCCATAGGACACATGATTGATATTCTTCAGATACTCAAAATAGGATACCGTGACACCACCAGCATTACAATAAAAATCTGGTACTAATAAGACCCCTTTGTCCAGCAGAATCTTCTCGGCTGCTGGCGTGGTAGGGCCATTAGCGCCTTCCAGTATTAATTTGGCTTTGATATCCTTTGCATTCTCACTGGTAATGACTTTTTGCGTGGCACATGGCATCAATATATCACAATCCGCTGTTAAAATATTTTCCTTAGATTCCTTGGCTTTCGAATAGCCCTTGATGCTTTTCTTTTCCGCCTTATATTTCATCAGATCCTAAGAGTGCGCTTTTTAGCCAAACAACTAGCCAAACGATCACCTAGTAGTACTCACATTAACATCAATCCCATCTGTGTTGGTCAGTGCGAAATCAAGCTCCTGAATGCCAATCACTTTGGCGCCTGCTTCATGGACAAACTTAGCGGCAAAAGAGCCAACATTGCCGAAACCCTGAACGATGACCTTCTTGTCTTCCCAGCCAGTCTTAAATCCAATTAAATCCATCCACTCCTTATCTTGTAGAAATAAATCGCCCGACTTCCACACTCCTCGGCCAGTTGCCGCGAATCTTCCATTGATGCCGCCAATGTGGACAGGTTTTCCTGTCACAATTGCTGCCGCATTTATATCCTTATGACCGAATGTCTTCATATACTGATCTACTAACCATGCCATCTCTCGCGGACTTGTATTCACATCTGGGGCGGGTACATCGATGCCGGGTCCAATCATGTTCCGCTTCAAGAGCTCCATGGTATATCGACGTGTAATCGTCTGCAATTCTTTAACCGTGTATTTCTTGGGGTCGATACGAATACCACCTTTGGATCCACCAAAGGGTAGATTAACACATGCGCACTTAAAAGTCATAATAGACGCTAAGGCTTTCACCTCATGCTCGTCCACATCCATGGCAAAGCGAATTCCTGAGGGATATAAGTAGATATATCAATAAATTGGTCAAAAGATCCGGTCAATTCTTCCATGATACTTACCACCCTTGAGAGGCAGACGATTTCGCACATGATGGGCTCTGTAGCCCGTTATAATCTCATAGGAGCCGTTGTTTCTTATAATAGGAAAGCTTACCTCAAGCGAGGCATTCACATTTCCAATTAGATTTAAAATGGCACTCACACGTGCTTGCTTCTCTTCGGGCTTAAAGTATGGATACTGGTCCATCTCCTTAACCAATTCTTTTTCCATGATCTGGGCAGCCTTGTGATAATAGTATAGAACCATGGCCGAAAATTCGGGATCCTTGGCATCCGCGACCGCCTTCAGATGCTCTGGTATCTTGTGCTCAAGACGCTTTTGGAGTTGTGGCGGCGCGTGGCAGCGTCCACTTAAAAGAACATTGGTGAGGCCCCGAAGCATTTTTGTAGACTAAAAAGAATTATCGAATGGAAAATTTAGTGTTGACGGTTCCGGTATTTTATTTGATTTAATTTAAACTTATTTTAAATACGATAGACATCAAACAAAAGTGTGTATGCTTACTAGATCATTAATGTTTACAGCAAATTAATTTAACGAGGCAAGTTTATGGAACGGGCGAAAGAACAATCTCCGACGTTAACATTTCCCTCGAATCTTGATGCAATGTGCTGCATCTTACCTCCCGCCCTTCGACCGAGGAGTAACAAAATCGAATTACGTGTTAGTCCAGCAGGGATAAAGGAGTGTTATTGGCTAGTCAACCCAGAAAAGTCGATTTCATCCTGGGTGATTAGCCGGTTGAAACACTAGAAATTAGTTTTTAATGCCATGGAGCGTGTGGAAACACATCCTGATAAATAACTACATTGTGTGACATCACATTCTTATCAGAAATTTTGAGAACTTGCATGAAACTCTGGTTTCACTTTTCTAAAAGCTCCACCAACTATTGTTTTCCTGATCATACCCACTTTAAATATTAAAAGAGTTTTTTATTAGATGAGCTCACAATGGTTAAATATTAAAAGAATAACATTTTCATTTTAATTTTCGGGTTAAATAAAAAAAGAACTCAATTTTTACTGCTGCGATATGCCGGAGCTCTCCAAAGCGCGGAAAATTTTAAATATCGACCAGATATATGCAGCAGTTCGTAAGTCGTTGCGCAGCTCGAATTTGTGAGCTGCAGCCTTGATACCAATGACCGAAGCTTCCATAATTGTTTGTAGAGCCGCGTCTACAATGTCAGCCTCATGAGTGCAGTCCCGAATCTTCTTCAGTGGTTTATTTGGCTTGACCTCGGGCTGTCAGAGAATTTGATAGAAGAACTTCTTTAATTACTTTTCAGTGCTTGAACTACTTACGAGATTACAATCCCCTTGACTAAATGATTCATTGATAGAGTTTACGATCTCAAAAATAAGCTGTGATGATCTCTTCGAAGACATTTTGCCGTATGTAACATGGTTAATGTTTTTTAGATACTCAAAATAGGATACAGTAACGCCGCCGGCATTACAATACAGATCTGGAACAATCAAGACCCCCTTGTCCAGCAAGATTTGCTCGCCAGCTGGCGTAGTTGGTCCATTAGCACCTTCCAATATCAATTTCGCCTTGATATCACCAGCGTTCTCACTGGTAATGACTTTTTGTGTAGCACATGGCATCAATATATCGCACTCTGCAGTGAGGAGATTATCCTGCGTTTCCTGGGCGTTTGGATAGCCCTTTATGGATTTCTTTTCCGCAGTATATTTCATCAGGTCCTACAGGGGGACGCGCTTTTGATCTTATTACACCTAACACACCCATTATACTCACATTGATATCGATGCCATCTTCGTTAATTATAGACATATCAACCTCCTGAACGCCAATTACTTTGGCGCCTGCTTCATGGACAAACTTGGCGGCAAAAGTACCAACATTGCCGAAACCCTGAACGATGACCTTCTTGTCTTCCCAGCCAGTCTCAAATCCAATTAAATCCATCCACTCTTTATCTTTCACGAACAACTCGCCTGATTTCCATACTCCTCGGCCAGTTGCCGCGAATCTTCCATTGATGCCGCCAATGTGGACAGGTTTTCCTGTCACAATTGCTGCCGCATTTATATCCTTATGACCGAATGTCTTCATATACTGATCTACTATCCAGGCCATCTCTCGCGGACTTGTATTAACATCTGGGGCGGGTACATCGATGCCGGGCCCAATCATGTTCCGCTTCAACAGCTCCATGGTATATCGACGTGTAATCGTCTGCAATTCTTTAACCGTGTATTTCTTGGGGTCGATACGAATTCCTCCTTTGGATCCACCAAAGGGTAGATTAACACAGGCGCACTTGAAAGTCATAATTGCTGCTAAGGCTTTCACCTCATGCTCGTCCACATCCATAGCAAAGCGAATTCCTGAGGGCAGTGGATCAAACAACAACTCTACATTCTTGATTTCGGTACTTACCACCCTTGAGAGGCAGTCGATTTCGTACATGATGCGCTCGATAGCCACTGATTATTTCATAGGTACCATCCTTTCTTACAATAGGAAAGTTCACCTCCAGCGAGGAGGATACGCTCCCTATCATGTTCAAAATGGCATTCACGCGTGCCTGCTTCTCCTCGGGCTTGAAATAAGGATACTTGTCCATCTCTTTGACCAAATCTTTTTCCATGATCTGGGCGGCCTTGTGATAGTAGTACGCTATCATGTCTGAGAACCCGGGATCCTTGTCTGTTATAACCGACTTCAGCCTTTCAGGCATTTTGTGCTCGTACCGCTTCAGTATAGGAATAAATCCATTGCAAAGAGTATTTCGATTAGATGCTAGGCGGCGATACATTTTTCATCGATGTTTTCTAAATTGATATTTTCATTTTCTAGAATAATACTTAAAATTTTACAACTGCCATGTTTGTAAATATTGTACTGTGTTACTTCAACTAAGGTGCTACAACATTTTGAAGTTCATTGTGTTTTTTGATTTTGTTTTATTGTATAAATTGCTCTACATAATACGTGGCTACATGCTACGAGCTAGGCTTAAATATTTTATAGCTATACACAACTTTAAACATATTTTGAATGGTCAATTCTTAAAGCATGGAAAACTCTAAGCAGCCAGTAATTAAAAAAAGTAACTAAGAGTATGCTATGTAGAGTTTATTGGTCATACTAACATATCTACACATATGCATACATACATATATGTATATATGTACCGTATGCGTACTTAACTGTGGTGCCGTTTGACGTTTGAAAAGTTTTGTGGGTTCGCCCGGAAGCGCAGTAAAGTGAATATATATAGGATAGAGGATCCTTTTAATATATGTAAATATATATATATAGATATATATATAAGTAATTATATAACTTAGTTGTACCAGAAGCACAGGTTACACATAAATATGATAGACTTATATATAAGCCTTAGTATAATTGATATTATAATGATAATTTTTAATTATTATTTATGTACACGCACACACAACTTTAGAACTAGAAAAAAGCGACCCCGTTTGCAAAATGAAAAGTAAAAATTTAACAAAAATGTAGCTTTTAATATCACTTTGGGGACATGCACTCGTTCTCTTATGGCCTCTTTTACGATGGTTACAATTGGTAGCATATAGAACTTTAATTCGACAACAATCGCATTGCACACAAAAATGTTCGATAATTTAATTTTAATTCGCTTCATTTAATCCGGACGTGAGCTTCATTCAAATCGCGCTGTATTAATGCATATTGAAACTGGTTTGCTTGATTCATTGATATTCCAATGCTATAGATTAAAGCCTTAGTCAACTACTTAGTGAATAGACTAAAGGCTACCGTATTTTCAATTAATTTCAAATTAATTCAAAAGTCTAATATTTTTACATGATAATTACAATGTGATTACGACGGCCTAATACACACACATTAATCTCGTAGCAAGATCGCAGGTATTGCTGCTGCTTAAAATTTAACATCACGCTTGGAAACAATAATTCTCAAAAGTATCTTTTCCCATTGAGTACTATAATTTGTGGGCTTTCGATCGCACTGCAGATCAAATCTTATTAGCTGTCGCACTTCAAGCAGCTTCTGTGCTGCTTGACTGCTAGTCGACGTCCTTCTTCTCGATCTTCAGGTCGAACTTGGCCACCAGCTCCTCGGGCGTGTGTCTGAAAAGGACGTTTTTGTTAGTCCCATTTTGTCCACAGTTCTATCGTTTCGATTGATTACTCACCCCACCAGATTCTGCAGATCACAGACGAAGCGATAGACATAGCGTTTGCCCGCCGTCTTGTGTATGATGTTCTTATCATAGTAATAGCGCAGACCGCGGCTCAGTTTCTCGTAGTTCATCTTGGGCTTGTTTTTGCGTATGCCCCAGCGACGCGCCACCTATCGGATAATAGATGTAATAAACATAATATTTAGTAAAGATTTCAATTAACAACCATTTGTCGTGCATTTACCTCATCGGGATCGGTTAGCTTGAACTCCCAGCCATCTCCCGTCCAGGATATGAAACTCTGACAGGTCTTGTCCAGCAGCAATTCAAGGAGAAATTGCCACAGCTGTATTGGCCCGGAACCTGTAAAGCAGGGCACTCCACCCTGCGTTGTGTAGCCGCCCAGCAGCGTTTTGTCCAGACCCAAGGTGGTCATATATGCCGCCGGATGCTGATGAGCATGCGCGCCCCATTGATCCATGTTTGGCTGGGCACCCATCGTTGGGAACTGCGCATCGTACGCCGCAAACTCTGGCGGGAATGAGTCATGGAAACGTCTATTATACGAATTGTAAAAGTCCGGACTGGAATCCATGTAGCCATTGCTGTTGGTGCTGCCGCTGCCATTGCCCGCACTGGAAGCCTGGCTCTGATGCTCCTGCGCCGAAAGCGTGCTGTGATAGTCGCTATCATCGCCGCCACCAGCAGAAGCGCCTCCACCGCCGCCCGGATTGCCCCCTCCACCACCACTATAGTGTCCGGCGGCCGCTGCTGCAGCCAAATGTGCGGGCAGTCCATAGCTGCTGAGATCTGTTGGATCGTTTTGAGCATTCGACGCGTAGGCGGCGTTGCTGCCATTGGCGGACTGTGTGCCCGGCTCCTCTTTTAGCTGATGTTGGTAGATAGCCGCCATGGCTGTCATGTAGTTAATATTGTTGTTGTTGTTGTTGTTGTTATTATTATTATTATTGTTGTTGTTGTTGTTATTGCTGCCCGCATTAGCGTTGTTGTTGGTGTTATTGTTGCTGCCGCTGCTGCTGTTGTTATCGGGAGCATTTTGCTGCTGCACGCCAGGCGGCAACATGTTGTTGTTGTTGCTGTTGTTGCTGCCAGTGTTGTTGCTGTTGCCATTGACATGCTGTTGCGATTGCTGCGGTGGCGGGCTGCTGTTGGTGCGATCGTGTGCGTTGCTGTTGTTGTTGTAGCCTGCAAGATAACAAATAAAATATGTATAAACTTTATTGTAACGTAATTGTATTTTTAGTTGATAAAAGTTTGCGAGCGAATCATAAATAAAATCTCCTGATGCCCCACAAAAATAAATACATTCCAATTTATAGAAAAGCTTATTATTTTTTACAATTCTTCAAAATGCAATATTCCAGACTTACAAACTTTTTGAACAATTAAATAATTTATCTTCATTTTAGTTGTAAATAATAAATAAATAAAATAAAATAAATAAATATAGATATATTTAATCAGATCTGCTTAACAAGCAACAAATTCTAGAAAGATATATAAATACATGTAAAGGTTTCAAGTCCAGACATTTGAGATGTATCCAATATGAATTACATACATTTCGAATCCTTAAAGATCTACATTTGTTTTATTTTCATTTGCTCTGAAGACATTTTAGCATCAAATGGGGCGTCTCTGACACGAACACAATTCGAGGGCAACCGCTTCGGAAGCCAATCAAAATTCGAAGCGCATACCAATACAAATGCCTGTCGCCGCAATAGATACAAAACACAGATACACACGCATACCGACACATACACACACATACAGGAGAGCGAGTTGAGCTACCCTCTCTCAATCTAATGTGGCCTGTGAGCGCACGCTACATTAATTGTAAATACGTCGAAATTTAACACGTTTCAACGAGTGTGTACGTACGAATGCGTATGTGTGCATTGGTATCTGTGGGATACGAAAACCTGTTGCACACATACACACATATAAACATTCGCGCTGCTTCTCTTGCTCGCTCCAACCCGACGAGCAACTAGCTCAATCTCGCTCACTCGCTCGCAGCGGGCGAAAGCTTAGCGCGTTCTCCCATTCGCTCGGCGACGGTATTGCGCAGATACAAAGATACAAAACGCTGCCCGTTGGCTGAGGCAACGGGCGGCACTACAACAAAGAGTTGGGTGCCTCCCACGGTTATGCACACAGTGGCACAGCATCTCGGCTAGGCTAACATGTATCTGCGAGTTGTGCATCTGTGTGTCTAAGCATCTATCTATCCATGTATCTAACTTTTAGTTAAGTCAGTCAACCTACGTGCAAGTAAAGCATAACATTTTGTAGATGGTCGCATTGGGGCATTTAACAGCCGTCCAATCTCCTCCCCCTACATTCAACTTGTTGCGTGTTTGTTGTTGTTGTTGTCGTTGATTTGGCTTCTTGTTGCTGTTGCGGTTGCTTGCGGGCGTCACACAAACAAACAAACACTTGCAAGCAAATTACAATTTAATTATGCGTTGAGGGTTGTGCGCACATCTTTGAGCTACTTTTCACACTCCAACACCTCGATTGTAATTAAAATTGTGCGTCATTTGATGTCCGCAAATATTTGACTAGCTTTGTGCCCTACCTGAGCTAAAGAAGTTAACATCCGAGTCCGTGTAGTAGGCATTGCCCGTTGCGTGATGCGACGGCGGCGAATAATCGCCCACAAAGGGCGTTATATCGTTGAAGTAGCCCAGGCCCAATGAAGCCGCTGTCGAGCTGCTTAAGGCGCCCGCCAGGCTGCCAATGCCGACGCTGGCGCCGACGCTGCCGCCGTTGCCAGCGCTGGCAAAGCTATGCGACGAGGCGTTCGAGGAAGCGCTGGAGCTGGAGCCGGAGGATGAGGAGGCCGTGTTGCTGCCTGTGCTGCCGCCGGACAAGCGATGTTGCTGCTGCTGCTGCTGTTGCGTAGGTGAGACATAGTGCGTATGTTGCTGATGTGGCTGGTGTTGCTGCTGCTGTTGCTGCTGCTGCTGCTGCTGAGGGTGTTGCTGATGCTGCTGTGGCTGATGATGATGCTGCTGTGGCTGCGGCTGCGGCTGCTGCTGTTGCGCTGGCAAGACATGCTGCTGATGTTGCTGCAGATGCACCGTTTGCTGTGGCAAATGATAGTTCGAATAGTTCTCATAACTTTGTAGCACCATATTTTTCGATGTTGTTGCCGTTGTATAGTTATAGTTGGGCGCCGTCTGGCAATTGTTGTTGCTGATGTTGCCGCTCCTGCTGGCAGTGTATTGCTGCAAGTTCCTAAATTGTTGCTGCTCGGCTAATGCTAATGCTGCTGCTGATGCTGTTGCCTTGTCGTTATCCGACGCGTTTGCTGCACTGATTATGGTGGCATTAACTAGGAACGCAGAGGGCGGCATTTCTTCGCGTTTTCCAATTGATCAATTGTCAAAAACTGAATGTTAAAAATGCACGTCATTGACTTTTTGAATGGTCCACACAAAAATGCTTCTTGGCTATATATACTAAATGCTCTTCTATACAAATCAAAACTGCGGGATCCGCACAACTGTCAACCCAATTGACAACGTTTCGAATAGCCACACATACACACAAGCACACACATTAATTGTAAGTGGATTGGACTGTGGTGCAGCTGGCTTATGCTGGTGGTTCTTGCAGTTGTATTAAAATTGATTTCACTTTTGGGTAATATATGAGTATTTTAATTTTTGCACTGCCGCTGCCACTGCTGCTACTGCTGCTGCTGCTGCTGGATGCGGGTTCTAATCAATTGAGTGGCTTCTGGAATTGGTTCTCATAAAGTACACATATCATGCGCTTAAGTATGCAGATAGATAGATAGATTCTACAGCATGTGGGCGTTAGCATTTAAGGTTTGAGTTTTGGTTTGGTTTTAGGTAGCGCCGTTTCGTTGCCTGTGATTTGAGTTTGGTTTCGTTTTCAGATTGCAGTTTTAGTAGCAAACTTTTTTATTATAATTCGCACTTATCGCACTATCTAAATTCCTTTGTATTTCATGTAGCTCTTTCATTTCACTTGTTGAGATTTTTAAAATATCTTTTGTTAATTGTTGTTATTTTTTGTTGTTTTTTTCATATTTGTTATGTCGACTATACGAGTTCCGTCGCATTTTTAGTATAGATTAAAATTTAACACTTGCTGGCAATTCTCGTATTTAATGGCAAATAATTGAAGGCAATTCATGAAATCAGTCGCGCTGCTGCTCAGATGCTTTACACTGTGCACACACACACTAGCACACACACACGCGCGCACACACACATGAAAAATAACTTGATAAATTAATGCGCATATCGTACATATTTTATATCGCATTTAGTTATATATATTTCTCGTTTTCTGTTTAAATATATATTAGCAAAATGTTGCAACACTTTTCAATTATTTATTATTCGGTTTTATTCTTGAGATATTAGCTCGTTGTTTTTCTCTTAAGTCCCGTCTCAAATCTCGTACAACGGCGCGTATACACGATTTGTGTGCTGTGCTGATCACTGATCAAAAATACGAGCGAACGTTAAGTCGAGCGACGGCAGCTCTTCTACCTTCGACATCCGTTTAAGAACTGAAGTTGCGCTGAAGTTGTACGTCGTGTTGTTGCCTGTGTCGGCACCATTGTATCTAAGAGTGTGCGTGTGTGTATCTGTGGTGCGCTCGCGTGTATCTGTGAGTGCGCACTCGTGTATGTCTGTGTGGGAGCGCCTCGTGTGCTGGCCAGCGCGTTCGTGCGCTCGGCTCCAGCCACACGAGCCACATGCATTCGCACACTCGCACACTCGCACTAGTGTGCCATTGGCAATAATAATAATCAAGAGGAAGGCATACTTGCACAGCGCTTACTCACAGATACTCTCCGGCTGTGAACTAAGTAAGAGCATGTAAAGCCTATGGATATACACGTAAGTGTATCGAAATTTTATTTATATCAATTCCTATATGAGATTCGACTCCACTTGTTGCCGCTAATTGCAGCTACATGGTATTTCGACAGTCGCTAATTAGTTTTCCACAGTACAGTTGCCATCAAATTAGCCAGCCAAGATCATTAACAACGCGACGCCAACACACAAGAGCAGCAAACCAACCATTTTGGACCACCAAAATGGCTATCAGCAGCGGCCCACAGTCCACGGCCCACTGGCCGATGGTCAGCGGCATTCGTATTGGAAATGTGAGTGTAAATGCGAGAGTGTGTGCGTGTGTGGGCAGCAACTCATCAGCGAACAGACGCCAACATTTTGCGCTGATGGACCAAAAAAAAAAGCATCTCATAGATACGCGCGCACACACACACACATGCACATAATTAAACAAAGTTGGGATTGGCCACTGCTGCCAGCTGTATGAGATCATAACCAACGGAACGGCCAACAACCCAGTTGCGTTGAAAGCTGCTGTCGAGTCTTCAACAATACCAAATTAGTTGCCGTCTTTATGATTATTATTTTTTTTTTTTTTTTGGCGTACGTGTTTTTGTTGCTGCCATAATTTGTGGGCCGAAAAAAAGGGAAGGGGCAAACACACCATCTCTTAGATTTTTCGTGTTGTATAATTGTGGCAAAAATAAAAATGGTGGCTTATGGAACGTGTTGTCGTCCAACTTGCGGCAACAGCCAATGACAAAATGAAGCGTAAATTACGTGTAATATGAAAAGACACGTTCAAATGCACAAAAACTTCAAAATACCTAATGATAAACCACTTTGGAATATGCACTTAGATTAAAGAAAACAAACGCATGCATAACCTTAATTTTATGAAATACATATTTTGTCAGCCATTAAAAAAGTGTGTTGCAGACGAATCTTATCGCTTATATGTTATCAGTTATAATTTGTATTGATTTAGCTTGACTGATAAATATGGCATGACATCAAAAAAAAAAAAAAAAAAAAAAAAATTAAAACTGCAATGGCCTCAAAGTTATAAAGCTCAAGTATTTCCAGGAAAAATTGTTGAAAGTACATTACAGTTTTACCTTGTGCGTTAAAATACAATAATTGCTGATAAAGCATTAAAGTTCGTCGACAAAATCTTGAAGTTGAAAGAAAAACTTGTAAATATATGTTGCTTAAAATGCTGAGCGCTGGAAAGCATTAACAGCTGTTGTCCATTTGCGGTGGCTTTAATGAACTTGACCACAAAAGGATCGCCAATTGGATTTGTATACAGCTCATATTCATTATTTCGGCCAC